AATGAAGAAAGACAAAAAGGCAAAAAGAGAGAGAAGAAAACAAAACAAAGAAACAATAAAAACAAAAAACAAGAAAAAAGAAATGCCTCCAAGGATCCCACTGCGCATCTGCACAGAGCAAGGAAGTAGCTCACAAGCCGTGCAATACTGCCTGGCTAGAAGGGGCTCCCAAGCCAAGAAAAGAAAAAGAAAACAAACAAGCAAACAAATCAGAACAGAAGAAAACAAAACAAACAAACAAAAAAGCCCCGGGGATCCCACCAGCATGGCGGCACAGGCTGGGAAGCAGTTTCACAGTCGAGTGGTATTTTGTAGCCTTTCAGGAAGAAGCAAAGATGGCACATGGAGCGAGGTATTTGAAAGAAAGGAGGGGGAGGTGGTGAGATGTATGGAAGGAATCAAAAGAAGCAGAAAAAAGCAACACCAGCAGCCAACAAATGGCACTCAGGGAGCCAGCCAGTGCGGGCAGGTGGAATCCAAGCGACAGTGGGGTGAAGCCAGTGCTTCTTGGCCAAGAGACTGTGGCTGCAGGAAGCAGAGGAGGCCAAATGCAGATGAAGAACGGGATGGGGTGGGAAAGCAAATATCACTGGTTACCAATTGCTCTGTCTCCTGCTGGAAGCTCCATGAAGCTGCTTTTCCCTACCCCCTGTTCACCAATCTCCAATAGAAGTCTGATATGTTGGATCCATGCTGCGTTAGCTGACAGAGGACCTCTACATGCATCTCTCTTTGCTCTCTGTTCTCTATCAGTTTCTTATTCCATTTGGTGCTTGGCTGAGTTCTTTATCGCTTCATTTGATGCTTAGGGTTTCAGGATTGACGTTTGTTTGACTTAGTTTTTCAGATCTTTGCTGTGGAGGGACAGCGTGGTGATTCTGACTATAGTGCTGGGTTGTGCAGAAGTCCTAGCTGTAGCAACTTTTTATGTATTCTGGATATTAAATCCTTATCAGATATATTGTTCCCAAATATTTAATCTCATTCTGTAGGTTGTGTTTTCACACTGTTATAAAGTCCTTTGATGCACAAAAGCTTTTAATTTTGGTGAAGTATAATTTATCTATTTTGTTTTTTGTTGCTCATGCTTTTGGTGCCATATCTACAAATCCATTGTTAAAAACTAGGTCCTGAGCATTATCCTTATGTTTTGCTCTAAGAGTACTATGGTTTTAGCTTTTACATTTAGGTCATTGGTCCATTTTGAGTTAATCTGCCTATATGGTGTGAGGTATGGACCCAGCTTCATTCATTTGCATGTGGAGATCCAGTTGTCCCAGCATTTATTGAAGAGACTATTCTTTCTCCATTGAATGGACTTGGCAACCTTGTCAAAAATCAGTTGATGACAGGTGTATGGGCACTACTGTGTATTTAAATAAAGTCTACACATGGGCAGTTTCCAAATTTATATTTCCAGCATAGAACATCACCTAAATACAATCATTTATTCAACAATATCTCTTGAATTTGAATAGGTATACAAAACATAACACTGAAGTTCCAGCCTGGTCAATGACAGTCTAGATTGTTTCAGATTAATCTTTCCAACAACTAAAAAAGCTAGACAAAATACTAAAAAAAATTTTTGAAAGCATTGGGAAGCTACCAAGGTACGGAAAATCTGTGGGGCCAAGATGTAGGAGAGATGGCACTGACTTTTGGAGCCACTTTTCTCTTTAAGGCAATTGCCATCTTCAGTCGTGGCTGAGAAGCTTAGATGCTAGGCAGAGCTTTCAGCAGACTCACAGAGCTGGGGAAAAATTGGAGTGTATGGCCTATCAAAAAAAAGAGGTCCTGGTAAACACCCCCATGTTTTTAGTTGGCACTCAGAAGAAATACACCCTCAGAGTAAGGGTTGTCTATTTTGGCTCCTCTGGAAGAAGATCCTAACACAAGAATTTGAGTGCAAGTAGTTCATAAGGAAAGTACAGGAAACAATGGTAGGGGAGTGCAGAATGATACAAGGAAGGGTATGTTGTAAGCTAGTTATCTGCAGTAGGCAACTGAGGCACCTACCACAGGGAAACTCTGGAAAACCATGAAGAATACGTGTCTCAGTATTATCCAACGCAAGTGGACAGGGAGTTTGGGTACTTATACATCAACTCCCCAGACTTACTGAGTACTTTTGAGGTAAGGCGGCAGTGTTAATTCCTTAGTACTTCTGGACTACCATGCATATGAGAAGTACAGCCTACTAAAAAAAAAAACCCTGAAGCATAAAGCTGTAGATATTAAAAAGTTGTCCAGGGCATTTGAAAATGATAGGATCCAGGGGGTGTGGGCACTGACAGCATCTCACAGAACAGAAGTAAAGCTTGGAATCATCTCAATCCCTGATTGAATTAAAGTGATCTGCCACAGAAATACAAACAAGCAGTATCAGGAAAGATTTTGTCTAGCTTTTCAGTTCCACTAGGAAGGCTGCTCTGAAACAATCCAGGCTGCCCAACCCAGTAGCAGAATTCTCCATTATCTTTTCAAAGACTATAGGATTTGTGTTGACAACCCCACATTCGTTCATAATTTTTGCCTTCTTTTTTTCTTGAACATTCTTACCTAGATTTATCAATATTATTAGTATTTTCAAAGACCAGGTTTTGGCTTTATTGATACTCTATTTTATGTTTTATTCTATTTCATTAGTTTTAGCTATCTTTATTACTTCCTTCTTTCAACTTTCTTTGTCAAATTTCTTGTTCATTTTTTTCTACGATATGTATTTCAAGCTACAAATTTTTCTCAAAGTACAAGTTTACCTAATAACATGTTTTCATATATATTTTTATGCAGTTAAAAATTTTATCTAATTCCCATTGTGATTTCTTCTTTGACTGATGGATTACCTAGATTAGAGGTATATATATTAATTTCCAAACAAATGGTTTTCTAGTTATTTACTGATTTCTAAATTAATCACACAGTAGTTAGGGAACATACTCTATGTTTTGATCCTCTGAAATTCGATGAGTCTTGTTTTGTGGTCTAGCATATGGTCAATATTTGTAAATCTTATGTGTGCATTTGAAAAGAATATATATTCTGCCATTGTTAAGTGCAGTGTTCTATATATGTCAATAGGTCAAGTTTTGTTACAGCTTTACTGATTTTGTGTTTCTTTTATCAGTTATTAACAAAGGTTAAAATCTCCCACTAAAATGGCTGATTTGAACATTTCTTCTTTAGTACTGTCATTTTATCACACATAAAATGTCTTAAGAATTTGGGTCTATTTCTGGGCTTTTTCTTCTATTCTCTAAACCTCTCTGTGGAGTCAAGAGCAAGTAACACATCTTTTAGTTATCAGAGCTTCATACTAAGTTTCAATATCTAAGTGGACAAATTCCCCGCCCTTTTGCCCGATTCTTCTAATTTTCTTGGTTATTCTTCCTTTTTTGTATCATTTGAACTTCAGAATTAGCTTTCAGTAACAATAATGACATAAAATGTTGATATTTTTATTAGAATTATGTGAGACTTGTAGATTTTAATTTAGGAGAAATTGACAGCTTTATCATACTATCTCTTCCTATATACACTGCTTTCCATTCAGGTCTTCTTTTCCTATCCTTCATAGAGTTTAAAAAAAATTATTTATAGTTTTAATATAGAGTATTGATTTCTAAGCTTAATGTAACTAAAATCAGTATGTATGGATGTTTGTTAAAATGCAGATTCCCAGAACTACCAAGAGATTTTGATTTTATAAGTGTAGTATGCAGTTCAGATATTCTAATGTAGCTGGTTTAGGACAAACTTTGAGAAACATTAGTTTATAACTTGTACATTTAACTTTTATTCTGGTTATTTTACCTTTTTGTTGCTATTATAAATAAGAACTTCCATTTTTATCTTCAAATTGGATATTGTTTGCATATATAAAGGCTACTGAATTCTGTTTCTGATTGTTGTTTCTTAGTGATTTCCATAGGATAAGAGGAAAATGGTGGCATTACTCCATCAAATTTGAAACAATTTCATATTGCGGTAATATCGTCATTGATACTCAAAGTCTTCTCTTAGCTCTCCATTCTACCTGGACTTTCTGCATCATTTAACGGAAGCTGTAAGTGCTGAGGTTTTCAAGCAGGGTTGGAGGGTATGATGGACAATGTTAAATGATAAGTGATGCATAAATTATCTCAGTTAAGGTTATAACTGTATACAAAGTCTTATTTATATTTTCAGAGTTTGTTTGAATTTTTAACCACAACACTAGTAATTTGTTTCATGGAAATAATGATATAATCTTTCACCAAAAAAGCAAATGTGGCTTTTTCAAGATACCTACCAGCTGCTCCATGGGAGAAATATGTGGCAGTCTGCTTCCATAAAGATTACAGTCTTGGAAATCCTACGGGTTAGTTCCACTCTGTCCTATAGCATTGCTATGAGTTGGAATCGACTTGACAGCAGTGTATTTTGGTTTTTTGGTTATGGTGTTTTGGCCCTCCCCTCAATTAAATACCACAAAGAAAATAGTTGGTCATTTTCTTTAACTTAGGAAAATACCATTAAGAAACGATACTCTTCCTGTGCTGAAGTGATCCCAAATTATTATTAAGCAACAGTATTTTTAAGATGGAAATCAACAATATATTCTCTAGAATACTTTACTCATAAATCCAAAATTTGGGATTTTTTTTCTTTACTTTAACATTTTTGAGAAAAAGCCAACATTTTACAAATTAGGAAACCAAAAACAGTCCCCTGTCCCAAAGTGGCTTGCTATGTGTTATTAGTAAAATTGGAATAAACACTAGACTTTCTAGCCTACAGCTACCAAGCTACAAACCCACAGTCCAACCATTATTTTTGAAAGGCTAAGGCTAGATAATTCTATTTGATTAACAAAAGTCCATAGTCACGGTTGACACCAAAGCCCTTCAAAAGAAGTAAGATGCAGATTTTAGGACCTTAGATGTACTGTTGTGGAATTAAAAACAAAAAAATTAGAGAGCTACACTTCTGCCTTAGAGAACAAATTATGATCTTACCTGCATAGTTTGGAAGGAAAAATCTTCTTGTAAAAACTTCTTAATGTGTAGGACCACACCTTTTGGTAGAGCATTAACTGCATTCAATAACTTCTTCATTTGTAATAGTAGGTTAATAGGGACAAGATCAGTAGGTGTGTCCTTATCCAGTTTGACCTAGAAGACATATTCATTAAAAATTTACATAATTATACATGTTCTGATTTATTGTGACACTAAAACAAGTCAAAGTCCAAAAAAAATAAAGTGCCTACTACATGCAGATCCTTGTGACAGAACTACCGAAAATCTAAGTAAGACACACATTCTCTCTGTTCTTTAGGAACTTATAACACAGCAGGAAGTTTAAGAGCAAAACCCAATTAGTTTTAATATAGGGAAAGCTATCACAAATTCATTTGAAATTTATAAACAAAGTAATGTAAGGATTCAAAGATGGGAATATTTGTACCTCTTTTTTGGAGGGAGGGACATGAAAGATTTCATTATTAAACGTGAATTAAGTCTTAAAAATGTTTGTCCTTGGTAAATATACAGAATGTATTGAATTGATGCATTTAAAGCATAAAAATGCCAAGCTTAAAATATTGCATAGATTATTCTACATAATAATATGACAACTATACCTAAGAATGTTTTTTACATTAATTGACCAATGCATTTGCTAAATAAACACACAGTAAATTGAAAATGAATAGAATAGTAATGGTCTAAATTGTAAACACAGTAGTGCAATAGAGTGATTCTGACATCTCAATTCACTCAGAGCTGAGTAAACAATAAGAATCTTGGGACTTCAGAAACATTCTTACAGGCTTAACAAAGCCATCATTGACGGTTAGCTGATCTATATGGTCAGGTCCTACTGAATAGTCTATTAACACTAGTTGTGAGAGTAGGCAGTAGAGATGGAGAAAGGGCCTGGAACAAGTGGATGATGGTCTTCCCTCAAACCCTAACAAGATACCACAGCTCCTGTAGCCTGTTGAAACTTTGGGAATATGGATTATGTTGTTGCTTGGAGAATCAGAATATACAGCTTCTCAATGTATTGAGGTCATACAGAGTTTGAGTTACTGAAAATGTCCTGGTGTGAAACGACTCTTTGACTGTCAGGTCTCTAACTACACAGGAAATTCAGTGGGAACCAACAGAGTCCATTGAAGGATTATCTGCCTACTTTCCTCCCCGGAGTTTGAATCTTAAATTAAGATTCTTCTCTCCACATCCATACCTAAGAAATACACACACATATCATAGTATGTCATTATTTGAAAATTACTTCCAAAAATGTAGAAAAAAATGTGAACAGTTGCTGAATCTAGGTCAAGGGTATATGAGTGCTCATTGTACTATTCTTTCAACTTTTCTGTAGGTTTAAAATTTTTCAAAGAGGTTGAAAAAATAAAACCTCCAAAAAGTAACTAGACAAACCTTTGTAAAGAATGGCCACTGTCAGTAGTGCATATATTTCAAATAAAAGGTCAACTCTGCAGTCAAAAGTCACTGCAGACACACCTGATACTAATTAACAAATTGATATACAAATAAGCAAGATTATGGCCTAAATCATTTTTTTTTCAACAGGAATAGAAGCCTCCTACTTGTTAAATCTATCTTCTTATAAATACAATGAAACCTGTGAGAGCTGGAACTCGATGGAACTGCCTTGGTCATCCAAGTCTCAGAAGTTTTCCGCCTTTGACGTGATGCAGTCTTACCACTTTTCTATCGCTCATTTTAGTGAAAAATATTTGAGTTTTCCTTCTCTGTCACGTTTCCGCCTTACACAGGTTCTGGCTTTCGCAGATTTCACTGAACAACGATGTTTAAATTTTTAAAGTTAGTTGTTAAAATATTAGATGCTCATTCCATTTGCACGAACTTGATTTAACATCTAAATCAAATTTAGGCAAATTTTCTCTTCCCTTGCCTTCTGTATTCCCAAGTCCGTACCTAGAAATGTCTTTTTTGGATTTAATCCCCCTAGTTCTTGCCTTTGCTCAGCTGAACATTCCTATGTACATTTGTACATATTGTATTTCCTTTTCAACATTTTTTACAGTGATAACAATATGCAGGTGAATATTACTGTTTATTTTATATTTATATATCTTCTCCTCCTACATTAAAGGATAGGGAGCCATAGTGGCACAGTGGTCAAAGCGATCAACTGCTAACCGAAAGGTCGGTAGTTTGAAACCACCAGCAGCTCCTCAGGAGAAAGATGTGACAGTCTGCCTCTGTAAAGATTTACACCCTTGGAAATCCTATGGGGTCCTTATAAGTCAGAACTGACTTGATAGCACTGGGATTTTTTTTGAAATTAAAGGATAACCTTTACAGACAGTCCCTGACTTATAAGAGGGTTCCATTCCAATGACTCAGGGGTAAAGTCGGATACCTTTTATTTTAGTTTTCATTATTATTGCCTTTTATTTTCAGTATCTTTATAAATCTTTATTTGTCTTCGGGGTTTGGAAACATTACATATAAACTTACACATATATTTTAATACATACATACATTAAAAGATACACATCATAAAAATTTACTCCGATGATGAAAAAGAGTTGGACAACCTTGGCTTTTGTCAGTTGCGGTAATAACTCCACTTATGGAAGTTTCTGGATCATCTGGATTATCTCTGGGAATAGGGGTGGTGTTTCTAGTCAGAAAATTAGTGAGAGTTGTCCGTATGGTCTTTCTCTTTTTTTCTTCAAATATTTCACAGTAACATCTCACTGCTTCCTGAATTAGTAGTATGTAGTACATACTACTAACGATAAGATGTACAAAAAAAAAATAGTCATAAGGGCGTAACTCGAATACATCGTAAGTCCAGGGACTACCTTATATAAATCTTACCAACTTTAGCAAAGCGATTAGCGTTTGGGTCCGTGTTTTCAAGCAACTGAAAACCCGTGATTAGAAACTTCAGCTAATCCTTTCACTGTAAAATTTCTTGACAATTCCTCTCCTTTTTCTTCCTCATTATTTCTTTCTACTTTAGCATTTCCTTCCTCTTCAAAATCCATTAAGTCCTGATCTGTCAATTCCCCTTCTTCATGATCTGTGAGCTGTTCCACATCAGAGATATCAAGTTCTAAATTCAGTATTCTTGCCATATGGATGATTTTTCTAACAATCTCTTTCATCATATTATCCTGATCAAATGCTTGGAGCGTGTTCACATACCTCAGCAATTTTTTCCAAATCCCTTGCATTCATTTTCCTATAACTTTCTCCGAGGAAGATGCAATATTCTGGATACACTGAAGAATATTATAATTCTTCCAGAAATCATGTAATGTTACCATACCTCCATCTGTTGCAGCTATTGTCTGAGCAAACGTAGTCCATAGGCAGTATGCCTTGAAAGTGGCGACTGCACCTTGATCCATAGGCTGAATCACAGCTGTCATATTGGGAGGAAGATACACCACTTTCACATGTTGATTTAGATCATCTACGTGAGGAGGATGTCCTGGAAAAATATCAAGTAGCAGCAGAATCTTGAAAGGAATGCTCTTTTCAAGGCAGTAGGAGCCCACTTCTGAGGTGAAACAATTTATGTGCTGCAACATTGTATGTAGTACTTACTACCAAGTGATAAGATACATCCCCTCCCCACCCCCAAAAAAAAGACGATCGTAAGTTAGGGACTACCTGTACAAACCTTATTAACAAGTAGATATCAATCATTAAATAAAACTGTGTGGAAGGTAAAAACTGTATTAACAGGAACCAAACAAATACCTCTTCAACAATCCTCTACTAAATAAATATAAGCACACGTGATTGATAGATATAATCTAGCACAAAGTATATTGTCATTAGAAATAAGTCTTACATTAAGATATAGTTCAGATTATTCCCTTTCATTTAGTACTGGATGTTCTAACAGTAAAAATGATACAAAGAGGGAAGAAAATTATCTTCAGAAACAACTTCCTACTAAATAAAATTACGTGCGTATGTGTTTCTTCGTATGCGTGTATCTGTGTGGGTTTTGTTTTGTTTGGGTTTTGCTTTTAAAACATAAATAAGGGATTTCTTAAAATAGATTGCAGGATGTATTCTGGGCCAGTCAATTCAAATATCTACTAATTATAACTTACATTAAGTGCTGGTGTTTTGAATGATAATATGAGACGCAAGTATCAATCACCAAATAAAGATTTAATTATGACCTTTTATTTATTAAGGCAGTAAAGTGGACTCACCCAAAAATTTTTAACAGATAAGTAAAGTGGCTAGATTTAGCATTACACTGAGGAGCCCTGGTGGTGCAGTGGTTAAGTGTTTGGCAGCTAACCAAAAGGTCAGTGGTTCAAACCACCAGCCACTCTGCAGGAGAAAGATGTGGTGGTCTGCTTCTGTAAAGATTTACAATCTTGGAAACCCTATGGGGCAGTTCTACTCTGTCCTACAGGGTCGCTATGAGTTGGTATCAACTGGACGGCAACAGGTTTAGTTATGGTTTAGCATTACATTCTCAAACATATTTAGTCATAATTAATTAATTCACAGCCATTAACTAACTGTTAATGAAAATTAAATCTTCTCTTACCAGTTGAACAGTTGACTCTTCTGCCTTATTCTCGGGTTCCTCCGTAGTCTGCTTCTCCACAGGCGGATCTCTGTTTTAAAAGAAAAAGAAAGGAGTACTCAAAGCATCTCCTTAAAGGAACACAATTAAATCGTGGTAGTAGAGAACTTAACAATTGAATTTGTGCCTGAAAGTTACAGAAGTGTGACCAATGTGCATCAAAGACTGATAACGAGGGTAGGTTCTGTAACTCTGAGGACTCCAGTTAAAGAAAAGAACATTATGGCATGCCCTTACTGGATGGTGGTAAAATAGAAAACAGATATAAAACTCTGCATCTTTAACAAACACACGATACACCAAAATAATTTTAAAAATTAACTTTATAGCACTGTTTCAAGGTAAAAAAAAAAAAATGCCTTTGAAAAGGTTGTTTTGCTCTGTATGTGTTTATGAGGATGAGAAAGGCTTGGAAAGGATCTATCTTAAGTAGGTTTATTTTTTGTTTGGGGCTCCTAGCCCTACAATTATCATTTCCAAAAGTATTTTTAATATCATATTTAGAAATTATTAACTATTTTTGTAAAAAGTAATAACTGGACAGGTTTTGTTTTCAACATTAGCTCAAAATGTGAACATACTGAACTGAAAAATTCATTTATAAAATTGCTTTTGTCTAACATAGAACCATAATATAGGATCAGTGAGATGACTTATATATTCTTAATTTTATGCACTAGCAGAGATAAAACTGAGGTGAGAAACTTATACTGATTGATTTACTCTGAACTTGACTTTATGAATACCCTATTCTACTTTAAATTTATGTATTCATGTAACAGACACCACCTACCATGTGATAACTGACTCAGTCAGGGAAAACTGAGACAAATAAACAGCACAGCATCATCCACATGTTTAGACTCCTTGTGAACATTTCAACAAAAGATAACTTACATACACACACTTTTTCACAATATGATTCTCAGAGCTCTTTAAACTATCAGTGTAAAGAAAACCTGTTTACTGTATCTTCCTCTGCTTCTAGGTCCCGCAACAAAAAGGAATCAGGGATTATGTTATCAAGAAATGAAAAATACTGCAGCAGTATTCTGAAGCCTCTTAAGTTTTGAAAAAGACAGCAAAATACTCTCAAACGCATAGACTCCACTTGCTGACTCCGTGTCATGATCATTCACTCCTACCCTGGGAGTTCTCAATCCCAGATGCAGATTAGAATAACCTGTGAGGCTTCTAAACTATCCAGATGCCTGAAGCCTACTTCACTGCTTCTGAATCAAAAGCGTGGGATGTGAGCTGCTGTATCTTCTATTGACTCTATAACAAATTTTGATGTGTAACCCAAACTTATCTTCACCCCCTTGCCAACATTAAAATCGCTGCATTCAAAGTTACTAATGAAATCCTCATTCATACTCCAGTGTCTTCTCTTAGCTCTCCATTCTACCTGGCCTTTCTGCAACATTTAACATTCTCCATCATACCCCCCAACCCTCTGTGAAAACCTCAGCACTCTTAGCATCTATGGTTTTCCTCCTAGACCTCCTAGCCTTCCACTTCTCAGCTTCTTCCACTGGCTGCTCCTCTTCCTTCCATTCATCTTATTCCTTTATTACTTTAATATTACAGAACCCCATACATCATCACCATTAACCATGATTTCAGTGTATTAGAAGAGAAAGGCGTATCAGTAATCATATATGGCAGTCACTTTATTTTATAGATGGGTAAATAGATGTCCAGAGAGGTTACAAAACTTGTTCAAAGTTAATACACCTAGAATTTTCTTTTGTTAGTCCTGCTACCTTTCCCACCTGCATACTTTGTTCTGTTGCAAAGGACCTAAAGTTTTGCTATAACAATATATACTGAAATACATATAACACAGATAGACACACCCATCAAAATGATTCTCATCCTACAAAGTTCAGTTCAAATGTCACTTTATGGAAACCAACTCAATTCCTAGTCAAGAATTATTGCTCCTTCCTATATATAGCCACAGGATCTCTAATACAGCACGTATGCATTTTGCTTAAAGATGTAATTACCTTTTATCTCTCTGCCTCTAAGTTCTCTCTCTCTCTAAATACATGCATTTTGACTTAGTTTTTATTCCCTAAGCACCACAGTCAGTAAATATTTGTAAAATAAACAGATCACATTGCTTATTATATAAAACCACTGCCGTCGAGTCGATTCCGACCCATAGCAACCGTATAGAACAGAGTAGAACTGCCCCATAGGGTTTCCAAGAAGCACTGGTGGATTCAAACTGCTGACCTTTTGGTTAGCAGTTGTAGCTGTTAACCACTATGCCACCAGGGTTTCCACTTATTATACAGGACAACTCAAAGTTAGAGGGAGAGCTATATGGGAGAGGGATAGGCAGGCTGAACACTCCCTGGTTGGACAAGGCAGAATGCCATTTGGCCTGGGTCCAATTTGACCACTCTAAGGTCTTCTGTGCTATGATTAGGCTACCTTGGATAAAGTGGGGATAATAATAGCACCTACCTCACAGAGTTGTTATAAGGTTTACATGAGTTAACCTTTGCCTGGCATACAGAAAATCTGTGTTTGTTAAACGATAAATAAAATATTATCTTGGTGCGAATGCCCCAAGTAAGGTAATTTATGATACACTTCTATATTTATGGTTCCTTGGGAACTTTTCTAAAATTAGATTTCACCCAGTACTCATCCCTCGCGAATGAAAGTTGCTAAATTATCCCAAAGTATAAGGCTAACTCATTCTTACTAGCTTCCCAAAGTTATGTGAAAAGACGAATGCCAAGTCTTTGGAAGGCAACACATTCAGGTGTTTTCTGTCAACTCATCCCTTACCTCACAAAAAATCCCTCTGCTAGAGAATCCATGCTGCACGATGTTCCTTTTCAAGTCTTACTCCAATGCTTGCAGATTATTTTCACTTCTGCTGTTCTGCTGTAAAGAAAGTAACACTCTTACTCCTTAAAGAAAATTCTGAAACTATTGTAAAAGAAAATGCAAATCACATAGAGTTTCACACTCCAAACATAATTACTATCTACACTTTAATATACTCAATACTTTTCCAACCATAGGTATATTTTACCAATTTGTAATCACACATTATATCAAAACATCTTTCAAGTTATTTCATCCTCCTAGTTAACATTCTCAATGGCTACACAACAGTTAGTTAACTGGGGTTTCCTTGACCATTTCCTCATAGTTAGTGTCTTAGTCATCAAGTGCTGCTATAACAGAAATACCACAAGTGCATGGCTTTAACAAAGAGAAATTTATTCTCTCACAGTCTGGGAGGCTAGAAGTCCAAATTTAGAGCACCAGCTCTACGGGAAGGCTTTCTCTCTCTGTCGGTTCTGAAAGAAGGTCCTTGTCATCAATCCTCCCTTGGCCTAGGAGCTTCTCAGCACAGGGACCCTGGGTCCAAAGGGCGCACTATTCTCCTGCCTCTTGTTTCTTGGTGGTATGAGTTCCTTCTGTCTCTCTGCTCGCTTCTCTCTTTTATATCTCAAAAGAGATTGGCTTAAGACACAATCCAATCTTGTAGATTTAGTCCTGTCTCATTAACATAACTGCCACTAATCTCATCTCATTAACATCATAGCAATAGGATTTACAACACATAGGAAAATCACATCAGATGACAAAATGGCAGACAATCACACAATACTGGGAATAATGGCATATCCAGGTTGACAGCTATTTTGGGGGAGACATAATTCAATCCATGACAGTTAGACATTTAGATTGTTGCCAATTTTTTTCCATTACAAATAATTAGTTCTGTGATAAACCCCATTGAACACAAAGCTTTTTCTATATTTATGATTATTTCCTTACAATAAATTCTCGTAGAATTCATAGTCAAAAGACACAAATATTTTAAGCCTCTGGGTGCATATTGTTAAATGGTTTCCCAAAGCGTTTACACTAATGTATTTCCCTTGCAGGTATACAAGTTCCTGTTTAACACACTCTTGATAACACTAATTACTTTGTTTCCTTTTACTCTGAAAGTATCATTTAGTCACTTTCCCCAAAATTGTACAGTTCTGGGGTGGCTTGCATGTTGCTGTGATGCTGGAAGCTATGCCACTGGTATTTCAAACACCAGCAGGGCAAAGCATGACGGACAGGTTTCGGTGAAGCTTCCAGACTAAGACCAGGAAGCAGAACCTGGCAGTTTACTTCTGAAAAAACTGGCCAGTGAAAACCTTATGAATAGCAGCAGAACATTGCCTGATACAGTGTCAGAAGATGAGCCCCTTAGGTTGGAAGGTGCTCAAAATATGACTGAGAAACCGTTGCCTCCTCAAAGTAGAGTCAACTTTAAAGGATGTGGATGGAGTAGAGCTTTTGGGACCTTCATTTGCTGATGTGGCACAACTCAAAATGAGAAGAAACAGTTGCAAACATCCATTAATGATTGGAATGTGGAAAGTATGAAATACGAATCTAGGAAAATTGGAAGTCGTCAGAAATGAAATTGAACACATAAACGTCAATATCCTAGGCATTAGTGAGCTAAAATGGACTGGTATTGGCTGTTCTGAATTGCACAATCAAATGGTCTACTGTGCCGGGAATGATAAAGAAGAATGTCGTCACATTCATCATCAAAACGAACATTTCAAGATCTATCCTGAAGTATAACGCTGTCAGTGTTAGGATAATATCTATACATCTACAAGAAAGACCAATTACTATGACTATTATTCAAATTTACACAACAATCACTAAGGCAAAAGATGAAGAAATTGAAGATTTTTACCAACTTCTGCAGTTTGAAATTGATGAAATATGCAATCAAGATGCATCAATAATTGTTGGTGACTGGAATGTGAAAGAAGGACTGGTAGTTGGAGATATGGCTCCGGTGATAGAAGTGACACTGGCGATTGCGTGATAGAATTTTGTAAGACCAATGACTTCTTCATTGCAAATACCTTTTGAAACAACATAATCAGCGACTATACATGTTAACCTCACAGGATAGAAAATACAAGAATAAAATCGACTACATCTGTGGAAAGAGACGATGGAAAAACTCAATATCATCATTTGGAACAAGGCCAGGGGCTGACTGCAGAACAGACCATCAATTGCTCATATGCAAGTTCAAGTTGAAACTGAAGAAAATTAGAACAAGTTCACGAGAGCCAGAGTACAACCGTGAGTATATCCCACCTGAATTTAGAGACCATCTCAAGAATAGATTTGACCCATTGAACACTAATGACCAAAGACCAGACAAGTTGTGGAATGACATCAAGGACATCATATATGAAGAAAGCAAGAGGTCATTAAAAAGACAGGAAAGAAAGAAAACACTAAAATGGATGTCAGAAGACACTCTGAAACTCCTCTTGAACATAAATAGCTAAAGAAAACGGAAGACATGTTGGAGTAAAAGAGCTGAACAGAAGATTTCAAAAAGGCAGCTCCAGAAGAAAAAGTAAAGTATTACAATGAAATGTGCAAAGACCTGGAGTTAGAAAACCAAAAGAGAAGAACACACGGCATTTCTCAAGTTGAAAGAACTGAGGAAAAAATTCAAACTTGAGTTGCAATTTTGAAGGATTCTATGGGCAAAATGTTGAACAACCCAGGAAGCATCACAAGAAATGGAAGGAATACACAAAGTCACTATGCCAAAAAGAACAGGTCAACATTCAACCATTTCAGGAGGTAGTACATGATCAAGAACCCATAATATTGAAGGAAGAAGTCCAAGCTGCACTGAAGGCTTTGGTGAAAAATAAGGCTCCAGGAATCGACAGAATGCCAATTAAGATGTTTCAACAAATGAATGCAACACTGGAGGTGTTCACTTGTCTATGCCAAGAAATTTGGAAGACAGCTACCTGGCCAACCAACTGGAAGAGATCCATATTTATAACTATTCCCAAGAAAGGTGACCCAAAAGAATGCCAAAATTATCCAACAATATCATTAGTATCACAAGCAAGTAAAATTTTGCTGAAGATCATTCAAAAACCATTGCAGAACATTGACATGGAACTGCCAGAAATTCAAGCCATATTCAGAAGAGGACGTGGAACGAGGGATATCACTGCTGATGTCAGATGGATCCTGGCTGAAAACAGAGAATACCAGAAACGTGTTTACCTGTGTTTTATTGACTATGCAAAGACATTTAACCGTGTGGATCATAACAAATTATGGATAACATTGTGAAGAATGGGAATTCCAGAACACTTAATTGTGCTCATAAGAAAATTGTACATAGACCAAGAGGCAGTCGTTCAAACAGAACAAGGGGATACTATGTGGTGTAGAATCAGGAAAAGTTGTGCATCAGGGTTGTAACCTTTCATCATACTTATTCAATCTGTATGTTGAGCAAATAATTTGAGAAACTGGACTATGTGAAAAACATGGCATCAGGACTGGAGGAAGACTCATCAACAATCTGTGATATGCAGATGACATGACCTTGCTTGCTGAAAGTGAAGAGGACTTGAAGCATTTATTGATGTAGATCAAAGACTACAGCCTTCAGTATGGATTATACCTCAATATAAAAAGAAAAATCCTCACAATCTGGCCAATAAGTAACATCAGGATAAACAAAGAAAAGATTGAAATTTTCAAGGATTTCATTTTACTTGGATCCATAGTCAATGCCCATGGAAGCAGCAGTCAAGAAATCACATGACATATTGCATTGGGCAAATCTTCAGCAAAAGACCTCTTCCAAGTGTTGAAAAGCAAAGATGTCACTTTGAGGACTAAGGTGCCCCAGACCCAAGCCATGATTATTTTCAATGGACTCAGATGGGTGTGAAAGCTGGACAATGAATAAAGAAAACCAAAGAAGAATTGACGCATTTGAATTATGGTGCTGGCAAAGAATGTTGAATATACCATGGACTGCCAGAAGAATGAATAAATCTGTCTTGGAAGAAGAAAAGCCAGAGCAGAATGTTCCTTTGAAGTGAGGTTGGTGAGACTTTGTCTCATGTACTTTGGACATATCATCAGGAGGGACCAGTTCCTGGAGAAGGACATCATGCTTGGTAAGGTAGAGGGTCAGAGAAAAAGAGGAAGACACTTAACAAGATGGTTTGACCACAGTAGCTGCAACAATGGGCTCAAAGACAGCAACAATTGTGAGGATGGCAGGACCAGGCAGTGTGTTGTTCTGCTGTATACATGGTTGCTATGAGTAGGAACCAACTCGAAGGCACCTAACAACAACAACCTAGCTCCATAAATCAGGAGAGGTTTGATCTATAAAACTATCACATATTCTCTGGTTCAAATATCAACAGATGTTGTGGGTATTTACTGAAAAAAAGAAAAAAATTACTGATGTAACACAAGTAAACACGAAAAGAGAAGCAGAGTATTGTTAGAGTAGTATGTCTCTCCATTTAACCATTCCAAGAACAACTCTTGTAAAATTAGTCTCATCTGATTTCTTTTCCTAAGAGTTGAAGCCTCTGGAATCCAATGCCCTCCTCTAGGCTGGTTTCCCTTTCTGATTCCATTCAGAAGCAGCTCTGTCTACGAGCCCAGGAAGTGTGAGAGTAAACATATATAAGACTACTGGTAGGTACTTTGGGGCAAAAGAACAAATGATGAGGAAAAAGAAAAGTGGCAGCAACAGTATAAATCAAACAGATGTAGATACAGAACCTTGCTGCCAACCACAAGACTGGATAGAGTTTCCCATTTGTTGCCTCTGGACCACTTATTTATCTTACTAATGGGGTGGCCACTTGCTCAGATAGTTCATTTAACATATACCCATAGATTATATCAGTAAAATTTGTGGGGCCACATTGCTAACAAGCAATTCAGCATAAGTAATTCTAAAATCAAGAAAACACATTTTATAAGATCATTGGTAAGCCATCTGTTAAGAATTCGGATTATATTTCCTCAAAGAAATATTGTTTGATATGTTGTTAACTGTTCTCAAGTCAGACCCTCCAGTTCATGGTGATCTCATGCACAATGGGATCGGACCGTTGTGATTCAGAGTTTTCATTGCCTGATTTTTCAAACATAGACTGCCAGACGTTTCCTCTAGTGTCTTAGTCTAGAAGCTCCACTGAAAACTTATCAGCATCACAGCAACACACAAGCCTCCACTGACAGAAATGGTGG